CATCTATTATAACAAAATTAATATTATTTAAAAATCAGTAAGTAGTAATAAACTAATAACTAATATTCATGGACTAAGATATATCTTAGTCCATGCTAATATTGTATGTTCTGTGATAAATAATTAATAAAATAAATAACTATATTATTATTTTGAATATCCCGCGTTTTTATTTATAAAATAAACATGCAAAGAGTATACATGCACGCATGCGCAGATCGCTCATCTCATCTCGCGACTCGTCGCTAATATGTGCTTCAACCTGCAGCTAACATGGGCAAGATAGGACATGGTTCCATCCATTGTATATGATCTAAGCTATGGACTATGAGTGAATGAGTGATATCCATTGATTGATATCTATTAATAATTATAATATTCTATGCATAGATRATATATATTTTTAATTATATTACAGAATAGATACAATATAGATTATATTGTCTATGATTCTATGCATAATTAATAAAGAATCTTATATAATCACGACCCCCCCTCCATGTGGCCGAATGTGGGCAAGACATTATTGTTATCTAAAAATCGAAACAAATTTATTTTTGGGTTATTTAAAAAAAATTCACAGCTACTCCGTGGACTCCTGAGTTACCATCAATGGTACCCATGGACACCCGGTTAAGAACCTATGGCATAGGGCATAAACATACTATATTATGCCAACAGGCATAAATCCATTAAAATTTTAGGGTGGTTAACATTTTTTACATCATTGTCAGCGAGGGGATTCCATCCTACACAACTTAAATACCATATTATTTTTTTAGTAGGTGGGATATTGGAAGCAGAAAATCTCCCTTAAACCCCTTACGATTAGTGCCAATATTTATGTCCATTGTTTAATAGACACGTGATATAGTATAGATCACTTAGTATCATCCGTCTTAATGGACTCATTGTATGATTATTATCAGGATAAAAAAAATCTAAGGAAAGAATTAGAAACATATAACCTAAGTTTAATTTTTACTTTTTAGGTCCATAAGTATATAAACCTTGATTTGTATTTATTTGATGATGATAAAGGGTATTATAACCACAATATGGAATATATAAAATTACAAATTACCTAGTAAAACTAGCTATATAAGCTTAACATAGAAAAAATARTTTTAATTATAGTTGGTTTATTATATTTAACATGGAAAATGTTTAGTACAAGTTCAACTTTGACTGAAATTATCAGTTTGAAAAAAAATATTTAAGTTTAGTTTTAATARCGTCTTCTCCTTGGTATTTTCACAAAGACCTAAAAATTCCTACACTTAATCATTTAGCAAAAGCACATTACTCTAAATTTCACTCCAACTTAAACTCTTACAGTAATCCATTAATAAAGCAACTTTCTTCCACCTCTCTTCCTGGCAGTGTACGCAGAAGACTAAAAAGGCAGTGGCCTAGAGACCTGCTAAAATAAAAAAAATAAAAAAAACAAAAAAATAAAAACCCACGACATCTAAAATATTCTCGGTCGGGTGGTGCTGCTGAGTGCCTGCCCCTAAATGCTAAATTCTGCTATTTCATATTATATTAATTATCAAATTTGCCCATTGTACATAGTTGTATAGATTGTAAATTACTTAATTATATAAAATAAAAAAATAAGTTTAGTTTGATGTCAAAAATCAGGGTTGTACCCATCATTACTCTTATTATGAGCCACCAATAAATAAAAAATGTATACCTACCTATTCCTTTGTATGATATTTCAATAAATAGTTGTAAATTAATAACTATAACAACAGAACTAAGCATAATATAAATAATGTTTTAAAAAAATATAAAAACACATCTATGAAATAATTATAAATTATAATTATAAACTATAGACAATTATCATAATAATTACTAATGTTATGTACTGAAAACAATTAAAAATCGAAGTTATACGGTTCTAAGAAATAATTTATTGGATATGAGTATAAATGTCTTAGTCACATTCGTTTTATTTTGTTCAGATATATTTGATTATAAAATATGAGCAGTATAATATTGTACAATTTAATTGATTGTTGTAATTAATTGTAATCTGAATTATTAACGATTATTTTCAAAGCTGTATTTATTGTAAAAATTATATCAAATTCTTTACTAAATCTTACAGTTATGGATAAGTTAATTAAAAATGTAAAATGTATATTTGGATTCACTACTCATTATTAAATAAATCTATTATTATTATTGATCATTCTTTCTTAAATATCAATAATTACAAAAATTATTTTGTATAGTACCTAATTATTTTAATTTATTCTTCTAATTGATTTATTATTGATATTAGATAAGTAAAAGTGTTATTGCACATAAAACAATGTTACTCAACAGTTGAAGACAAATGCCATGATTTATATTAGCTAACTGTAGAATGGACAAGAAGTAAACTAAACTAAATCCATCATCAATATATTTGGACAGATTAAATAAATAAGTGAAGCTACAATATTTTAAAAACTTGTTTAAATTAGTAAATAAATTGTAATTTTTAAATATTTTTAAATTACTTAATGTTAAATCATATTTTGATATTATAATATGTATGAACAAAATATTTTTAAAGATTATTTAACTAAATACTTGAAATAAATGATTTAGTGTCGTTCAATTTAAACTCTTATACTTTATAATATGTATGAACAAAACAGGCTTGTAAAATATTAGTTATTTAAATTTTGATTAACAGGAAAATGTACAGTATTAAAATAATATGTTGTTATTTATTTTCAAATTCAACATGGATTTAAGTCATTATAATAGGGAAAAATCAGATTTTTATAATTTAAAATACTAAAGGAATAATAAAGACACATGTCACTACAGTAKTTTAATAATGTGGTACAGTGTTCATAAACTATTATCAAAGTATTATAATAACATGATTCTGTATTCTATTAATTCAGACAGCGCCGGATAGAGACTTTTCGGCCCACCGAGATTTTAAATTTCTACCGGCCCTCAACAAAGTATCGGCCCATTCAAAAAACATTTTTTATGACTACTCTTTTAGTATGTGTGCTTCAAATAAWAATTGTTTCTCTAAAGCACATTTACAAATTACCTATTCAATAGGTGCATTACATTAAGTTATTTAGTATACTTCAGTTATATTATTTAAAAAAACGCTAAATATAAGATAGATAATATAGATAATATAAAATATAATATAGATCGCCTGGATTTATGCAATTTGTAAATATTTCATTTTATACTCAWGAGTCATGGCCTAAGTATGAGTAGTATGACAATTTTAAATCAATTTTTTATAACTATAAGTTTAAAATTTGATTTTCTTTTATATATATAATATATTTATATAATTATATGACATATATTGTATATAGATAAAATACATTATATTATTATTTTAAATTACTCTAGTTTATATCAATGTTTGATATAATACTGATCTTCAATTTTTACGCAGCCCACCGAGATTTTCTCGGTAGCTTGCCGGTTCAATCCGGGCCTGCATTCAGATTATAGTATTGTGTAATATTCAGGGTGATTTACCAAACATAATTATCTCTTTTTTATCCCCCAATATAACAGTTCTTTAAAATCTGATTATTAATTTTAGGTATGTTATCCACCCCTTCTAAAAAGCTAATTGTATTATTATTTGTTAGGTTCATAATTAGAATTTGTTTCTTGATCAATAAACGATGTCACATGAGGCAAGTATTGTGCCAACGCCCACTGTTCACCCCCCCCTTTCCTACACATGTGGCAATATTGCAAGAGAAAAAAAGGTTTGTTATTAACCGTAATTAATTTTATAACACTGCTACCTGTAATTTTTTTTATCACTGCCAAATTAATACAAGAATTAACGTGAGACATAAGTTATTATATTTAAATATTTAATATACTTAAATAACACAAATTTCACTTTTAAATCCCATGGTAATGGGTTGATAAGATATGTGAGTTACCATAATTGRAAAATTTTTGTTTATCAATAATTTGTAAAAATGGAACAAGTATAAATGTATAATAAATACTAGTTAATATGTTACATCTATTTTATATTTTTGTAAAACCATTTTTAAGCTTGGTATAAAAATTTTAACAACCAAAAAATCATTCAAGTATCTCCAGTAGTACAAAAAAAATTTAAGAATTAGAAAAAATTTGTCTTATATTAGTATGTTTAAATATTGAATATTCTAAATATCAGGATTTTAATAATTTCATTATTAAAGGAAAAAATGAAGGCAAGCATGCTCGGTGAATCACTATACATATTTCCTTAGTAGTGAGATATAAAAAAAAATAGTTGAATATGTACAAATAAGCTCAATATAAATTAACAACTTTAGTATTGTTAGGTCATGGGAATATTGGACTATTATCTTATTTTTAACTTTTTTATCTCTTATACGTTATAATATAGTGGATTTATTTATTTAATTAGCTTGCTAAAATATTTAAATATTGAATTATAAACTTGATAAGAAAATAATTGTAGTACTAATTTAAAAAGTGATAAGAGACACAATATTTTAATGGAATTACAAAAATATATAATAGAGTTAAGTCAAGATCATACTCTTAAATTAGTATTATTTTAAAATAGAATAGTTTGGAGTACCAATAACCAATTTGTGATATGTATTAAAAATTGATTTAATAATAAAATATAATAAATTGTTCTGAATCACTAACCTAATAAATAAAGCTTGTCAAATGCTTAAAATAACAATGAAACATCATCACAATATTATACACGTGTATAAATATATTTGACTGAAAACAAATAATAATTTACATTATTGCATAGACTATTTCATGATACCAAGGACCTCTTGAGGCCTAACAACAAATACATTCTAAAAAATAAATATAAATTTCTAAAACATTACTTTATACAAATCAAGCGCACAGATACAATGATCAAATTATATAATAAATTTTATTGCAATCATACTGGTAGTACAGATGATAAGATAAATAAAGATCCTTGTGCGAGTAAATAACAAGTAGACAGATAAGTAGAAAAGGGAAAAATTTACTTTGGAATAAAATACAAYGATCTAACAATGTTCTTCTTAGTTTAGAAACTATCTTCATAACCCATAGTCATCGTCCACAATAGTGGAGAACTGTTGGCGATTGTGACGATTGGCTCTCCATTAAATGTATTACTACTACTGGTAAGTCCTCCCATTTCCATCAATTTTCCACCTAAAATAAATAGTAAAACTTAGTCTTTATTGAAAATAAAAAGTTGATTAGCCAACATAATTCTTTTACAAACAGTACAATTAAAAATAAGTCATAATGGTCTTGAAGCATTTCCAAATAAAAGCAACTATTTTAATGTTGTTCATGCATAGACCTTAATAAATAATAGCTTGACTTATAACAAAACGATCATTAAAAAAAAACACAATCAACATAAAATACTTTTAAAAACCCTTTTTCTTTTTAATGAAAAAAAAAGTGATTTTTATGACTTACTTTTCATCACAACTTATAATTGAAAGTACCTACTAACATTACAAATAAGGCTCAGATTAAGGCATAAGCAAAATAGGCTACTACAGCAGAACTATAATTGAATTCTAATTTATGGGCACCATCCATAACATATTTTTCAATACAAAATACAAGTTATCTTTTTTTACTGAAGTACAAGAATTTATAATATAAATAGATCAAAAACTAGACTAAAAACCATAAAGTTGTTATATTATCATTTAAAATAAAATAAATCTTTTTAATTGTAGGTACCTACCTACCTATTTATTTTTGATTKTGATACTTTTTATTCATATCTGTTCATAAAATAAAAAATATTATTTTATTACTTGCTCAGGTTGAATAATGATAAGTTTTTGTATATTAAATTAAAAATATAATTATTAGACTACTAAAATAAGAGAACCAAAATTTACACAGCCAGTGGGAACTGTAGGTCTCAATCYTGGCCTGACTACTATAAAAATAATAATAAAATCAGTGTATTTTATGCTTAACAGTGTAGCTATAAAAATAACTAATAAGTAATATGATTGTATTAGGTTTGACCTTACCAAAGGAATAGGTAGTAATGAAAAATTATAAATTTAAATCATTCCTGAGTTTAGCTTTAATTTTTAAATAGTCATTATTGATTTTGAAGCACAGTTTTAGAATAGGTATGCGTTAAGCTACAAAATTATGCATTGTTTCACGAAATATTATAAAATCATTATTAATGTACTAAATACTAATTACTTTTATATAGTGAAGACCACTGYCCTTTTTTTGGAAAGTTAAAGTTAGTGATTTATTAATAAAAATTATAAAGAAAAATCATTCAAAATTGAAAAACTGTTCTATAGAACACAAATTTACTTTCTAATTTTTATTTCCATACTTATAAACAATGGCCAGGAATTTTGTATGAGGGAGGCTGTCTTGCAAAAAAATACAATATTTCTTTTAATTACACTTTTTGTACCTAAAATAATGATTATACCAAACTATATAGGTGTATAAACATTTTTTTTACTTTCCTTCTTTGGCCATGATAGTAGTTATTGGTACAACTGTAAAAGGTAGGCTTGGGGGTTGTATAATCCAAATACCGTATTATACATTATTCAACCGCTGCTGAGTGATTAATTCACAATTAAGAGGATGTGATACCTGCATATTATATTGTCTCTGTCTTACAAGTATGTAACATAGCAAATTTTACGTTCAGCATATCACGTATGAGTAATTGTAGATGTACAAAACATCTACAATTTTAAAACACGGCATTTGTGTAGCAGGTGTTCTACGGCCTCTTTTTAGGTGTATCAGGTGATCTACTATATTATATAAGGTGTAGTTGGTCATTTACGATTATTATTACCTATTATTATACGTACATTATCGCAGATCGCAGTGGGACAATATTGYGACAACAATTAATGACATTTTTTGTAATAATATAACTACGAGTCATTAGCAATGTTGCTGGATAGGTTAGTTTCAAATTGTTCGTTGGTYGGAGTTTGTCTATAATGCGTGCGTCTGAATTTTATAAAATAATTGTTGATGAAAAATCAACAGTAAATTTTTTACAACTACACAATTTACTTCCAAATGACAGTGAACCGCCAAATAGTAAAAAATGTGATTCTGAAACAAACATTGTAATCAGAAAAAACGACTGGCTTTTGGTGAACAAAATACTTTTTTACAATTTTTAAATGATAATAAAAATGTTCACTGTAATTGAAATTATTATTATATTTGGTTAATTATTTTTAATTTTTATATTTGACRAATATTTGTATGATATGATGCATTCGTAGTGAAAAATATAATGTGTTTTTATACTATTAAAACGTATAGATCACTCATCCTGAATTCGCAGATCACTCACCCCCCCGGTAGATTACCTGCTAGACGAATGCCTAAAACACTTATAACTCACTTCAAAATTAAAGTTTAGTAAGAAGCTCATGAAGTCATCTAAATAATACTCTTACCTAAATTTTATAAGAGGTCAATTTTTAAATAAACGGTTTTTTGTAAGATGGAGATAACTCATACAGGTATAATGTCCTCTTAATCATGATATAAGAAAGAATAATATTATAAAGATTACATATTTAAAATATTTAAGTACTGATAAGTATTACTTATAATTTATGTTAAATTGATGAGAACTTGGCGTCTAAATATTTGAATTTTCTAAGCAATACAAAGTTTATATTCATAAATTTTAATTAAATTGATAAATATCTAAACAACAAGTTTGATTTAAAAAAGACTTAATACTACTACTTAGGGATAATAAAAGAACAGGAATCATAAAAWTTTTTACAAAATGCTGAATTTTTTATGTGACAAGTGTAAAGYGATTTTTTAATTAGCCAAATTATTTGATGATTACAAGATATTATGATATACAAACCATAATCCATTTTTTTTCCTGTTCAAAAACAAGGAACGGGTGAGAACTGTTCATCACTATACTACCACCTGTTCCTGTATCGTTTATTCAATTAAACCATAATCCTATGACATATTATATTAAAATATTAATGTAGAACAACCTAATCTATTCTACCATAAATATTAACGGATATTTGTTCCACATTAAATAATTATAATGTATAAGATCTCAGAGCCCATAACAAACTTTCTAAGTTATATTTATATTTATTTTGGTCTAAACATTATTCATTATTTTTATTATTATTATTATTATTATTATTATTATAGTAAAATTTAAAAGTTTAAACTATATTTTAATGTATTCATTAGTATGTTTACAATATGATAGCATTAAGACGGTTTTAAATGCATGATCAGTGATCACTATTRATTAGATACTTATAATTTTACTAGTAAATGAAAAAATAAATCAAACTATCAATAAGAAAGTGAGAATCCATAGATTTCAAATTTTTATAGCACCACCATATAAAAATACTAAACGAGATGTTCAATCAAAAATATATATATACATGATAATATTTACATTATATACCTAATATATGAAATATTTGTAAATTTTATTTCCTACTACAGCACAAATAC